CAGGAGTGAACATAACCAAATCCTCACTGGAACAATCAGTAGAGATACCTTAGAGTGGCTGCTGCGTCGGAGGACCGAGCAGGCATGAGGATGCCCAATGTACAAAGACGTCGGTCGATTGTGATATCCTAACAAACAGAGATTTTTAAAATGGAATACGTCATGGTTGTTACATTTTGAAGTAGGTTGAGGAATTGCCTGGACTGACTATAAATGGGAGAACTATAAACAGTTTTAGATCCGCGGATGACACAGTGCTACAAGCAGAATACGAACAGGAACATTAGTGGTAGTACATTTTACCCCACCAGGCATCACACAGAGCGATAAACACCCGGTGACATATAGTGCCACAATGCGGTTGAGGATCGCCCGTGGAGAGATCCCAGAAACTGCGTTCAACCGTCAGGCTATATTGCGGCCCCAGGCAAAAGTCAGGATGGGGCTTCAAAATAACGACAAACTGTATCCCACAAAGGGACGACCCTTAGTTTTTCCCACGACAACAGCCAGGGTGAGGCTTTAAAACAACAAGACAATTAAATACGACATTAGGAAGCGGGGATAACTTTTACTAAGGGACATAACCTAATAATTTATAGACACGTAGTTCTGCCAAAGTAGTAACCTTGATTTGGAAATTACCATTTCAATCAGCAATGTATTTAATTTTCAATGCTAAGTATACATATTTTGTCATGGATTCTTCAAATATGACAGGAAGTAAAAACTTTTGTAGATGCCTACCTGCAGTGTATTGAAGAAATATCAAGTATTTTACGCCAAGAGACCTGTAAATGAAAAGCTGTAACCACAGCCAAAAAAATATATCAGTAACTTTCATCAACGTATAGTTTCTCTAGAAAGGGAAGTAGCTCCCACGAGCGAAACCCTACACGTTCTGAATAAGTTAACGAGTGCGGATGTCCAAGAAAGGACCACCCGTCACGTGGAAATAACTGTTTATTCTCTGGGTAATGGACAAAAGAATCTGCGCTAAGATGACAATTTCCCCACAGCGTTTTATTTATCGAGGATTTGATTCAAGAACCGACATCACAGCACTCGGGGCATTCCCATAAGCGCTCCTTTCCCTTCTTCAGCAGCCAGCGAAGAGTTGCGATACTAATGGTGCCAGTAGCATTCCATTCTGATTAAACGTCAGTCTTGCCTTGCCTTTGAACCTCGAGCATCTGCCAGAACCTCTCGTCACCCCCAACTGCATCAATTTCACCAGACTGTGGTGATCCATTTGCTCCTCCGAATTGTACACGCTCTCCCACAAGGCACTAACCACGTCTGCCCTATCATGTATCAGTATTCCATCAAGGTGTGCAGGGCCAGCCAGTCTGTCCGCCTGTTCATTTCCCAACACATAAGCGTGACCCGGTGAAAAAATCCACACAATACTCCTCACTCGTGTCCTCCGCAGCGCAGCATGCCACTCTGCAAGAAGCATACCTGTTCTGATCTTCCTCAGCATGCTTTCTGAATCAGTTACAATTACAATGTGTGTGTGCGTGTGTCGTGTTCTCTAGCCAGCCGAAATCTGCAGTGACCGCCTCCACCTCCATTCTTAAGCTGGAGGTTGTGGTATCATATGCTAGGCTTTCCTGCACCAAACGTCGACCATTAACTTTTGCTAAAAAGCCCCAAGCACTTCTTTTGCCTCTTGACACTGAACCGTCTGTGTAAATGATCAAATCCTCTGAGCGAGCATTATCTTGAATTAATTGCTTAATTTCCATCTCTGTGGCACCTGCTGACCAGTCTCTGCATTTCCGGCTCAACGTGATTATGACTGGACACAAGTCTGACTGTTTAGGTGACATTTTGACCCACTCCTCTTATGTTCTCAAGGATGCAAAACTGTCTTATTGTGCCTGAACCATCCATGACCTCCCTCTTATCAGCCGCTGACCCTTAACTGTACCCAGAGCTTCATGCAGAGGGTGATCTGTGTCTGCAGCTACCCTGAGATATGTCTTCACCTGCATCACCTTGTGCCTACTTGCAACCGTCGGCAAACCAAGGATGTATCGCATACACACCACTGGGGTGTCTCTGGTGCAACCCAGAATGACCCGCATAGCCGCGTTCTGTATGCGCTCTAGTTTGTCTATCTGACTCTTTGAGACGGTAAGCAGTCTCAGGCAATAATCCCCCACTGACAGGATCAGGTGTTGATATAGTGTGAAAAGCATTCTCTGCTCTATGTCAATTGCAGCCATAGTCTTAAGTGCACTAAGTCTTTTTTGACATCTCGTCACAACACTCTCCACATGGTCCTTAAATGACAGGCTCCTGTCAAATGTAATTCCCAGATACTTCAGTTTGATATCTCTGTTGAGTTCATACCATCTATCGTGAGACTTGTGACATAAGCTTTAACGATTCTGTTGTCCAGAGAACACCACAAAACAGATGCCTTTTCCGGGTGGACGACAGCCCTCCTTTCTGTACACCACTCAGTCACTTTGTCTACTGTCGCTCCAGAGCAGTTTGTTTCCTCTCTTTTCCCTGCCTATATGCAAGTATATTATCCGCAAAAGTCAGTATCCTTCCAACTTCTGGTGCTTCTAGGCTTGCTCGTATACACGTTGAAGAGCACATGGTAGATGGCGGATACCTGTGGCAGTCCTGGGGCCAAAGTGCATGGTTCTGAGGTCTATGAGCCCAGTCGGAAAGCAACCCGGCGTGAATACAGGACCGCTGCAATCCAGTTAACCAGCCATGGACTGACCTCCTTCTCCCTCAGTGCAGTCATTAGGATGTATCTCACTCTGTTATAAGCATCCTCGAGATCCAGTCCTACCGCCATAGTTTCCTGTCTATTCTGGAACCCTTCATAGGCGTCAAAAGCAAAAGTGGCCACCTTTGCCGAAGTGTACTTTCCTGGCCTGAATCTTCCCAGACTTCTTGGTAGAAGCTTTTCCCCTTTCCAAAAATTCTTGTAACTTTACAGCAACTTTTTTCTCCAAGACCTTCCCAAATGTGTTTTGTAAGGTGATGATTTTAAAGCCACCAAGCTTAGAATGATCTTACAAAAGTTTTGATAGTGGTATTAGATAGCTGTGCCCTGAGTCCTGTGGTACTGATGGTGTCTTAATACTCGGGTTAAAACAGTCGGCCGTCTCCGACAGGTCTACATCGCTCAAAGCCTTCAAGTAACTATTGAGGACACAGTACACAATCATCAATATAAACTAGTCATCTCCTTGTGAGATGCAATTTTTTTTGTTTTGCTACTTTGAAGCCCCACCGTGGCTCTTGCTAGGGGCTGCATTATATAAGTAAAATAAAGGGCCTTTTAGGCGTACAGGGCTAGACCTGTATTTTATGGACCAACGGCACAAGATGGGTGATGTGGTCACACAAACGATAAAACACCCAATGACACCATGGGGATGAGGATCACCTGTGGAGAGGTCCCAGATACCGCGTTCAGCCAGTAGACCATATTTATGGCCGGGCTATATCGCGGCCCCCGGCAAGAGCCAGGGTGGGGCTTTAAATAACGAAAAAAATTCATCCTAATAAGGGTGGTATTTTGTTTGACAACAGCCGGACTGTCGCCAATTATTAAAAAGGAAAGAGTTGTTTCCCCTCCCTTTGTGGTCTATCCTGTGTTCATATTCCCTCCCAAACAGTTAACAACAGCCAGGCTATCGCCAATTGGTAAAAAGGGAAAGCAGTTTCCTCTCTCTATCGGTTGAAATAGCCGGGCTACCGCCAACTGGTAAAAATGAGTTATTTTCCCTCTCTACCGGTTGACAACAGCCTGGCTATCGCCAATTTGTCAAAAGGACAGTCGATTCCCCTCCCTTTGTGTTCAGTTTCCTGTTCGTATCCCCTCCCTACCAGTTGACAACAGCCGGGCGATAGTCAGTAAAAAAAACATGGGCAAGTGTGACCCTGCCTACGTTATATGTACCAGATCTTTGGCCGTATACTCAAGGAATTTCCTTTTAAGAAAGAACTTTGCTTCTGCATTTTGCCTAGGTTGTTTTGGAAAAGTAACAATGTCTAACCATTTTAGACTTTTCTATTGCGACTTGTTTGGGTTTTATTGGGGTGGTACTTCGTTGCAAAAGGTTTGACACCTTTCCATTTGGCAAACATTTCCTCGATCAGCAAGAGGCTAACAATGATAATGCGGGCTGCTGTGGCTCATGTTGACTGCCATAAGTTTTATTTAGCACGCAAGTCCCATTTGAAACAAAGGTCGTATATCAAGCAAAATTGTTCGCATCTTAATTTGGACGTACACCTAAGAGGACGCACACCAAGGTACCACTGTATTTCAGTTGAATAAAATGTTAACGAATTACATTTCTGGAAAATGTGTACTTTTATTGTGTGTACAGGCTTAAATTATTTCAGTTCCAACAAACACACCATGTGCGATCATTTATTGCCCATCTCATATAATGTTCTACTTTCATTGGCCATTTCCAGGCAATCATTGCAAGTTTTTCTGGCAGCCCAAGGTATTGGCAACATTCTTAAGAACCACATCTCCTAGTGATGTCCCTTTTCCTAGACTCACTGGGAGTATGGGTTTAGATCTATACATTTTTATTTATAGATGAACCCGCGCTTAGTGATTGGCATCATGCGGGCCACCTTTACTTTCCATGACACGAACCAACAACACTCAGATCCGCAAGTCTGTCACTCTGGTTCGGGCAGACGGCTAATTTGCTACCGCACCATACTCGAAATAATCAGTTACAAACATAAGAGGTGAAAATCACCCCCCCCCCCCCCCCCCCTCGAAAACTATTCAGCCCAAAGCATCTTTTCACATTTCATTATTTAATAATTTTAAACAAAAAAAAGGAACAAAATGCTCACTCAAAAAAGATTTGTTGATTTAATGTACTGAATGAATGGGGGGAAGAGGGCATCAGAGCACGGGTAAAAATATACCTCCTGCATGAAATGTACACACCAGAATGACTACACAGACAAGCACAAGACACACGAGCTGCAACTCTTTACATCGTCAATTCCTGTAGAAAAAAACAAACATGTTTATTATTTGATAACAGCATTATAAAGAAGGCTAGCCACAAGTCACTTTATCAGTGAATCACGAATTTTAAGAGCTTAAAAATGTTCATGTTACCCAATTTTTTTGCAAACTGGAAACTAATTAAAGCATACAGTCCTTGCAGCCGCCCATTGTCTGTTCGTGTTAACTGAGTGTTCTTAAGTGAGTTCTTGTCAATAAAGATTTACTGTATCAGGATTAAAGAGGATTAACTAAAAACCAGAAACAATCAAAGCTCTTTATGCAGATCTCAGCAGGGACAGAAGAAATGGTTCTTCTTATAAGAAATCTCACTTATCCAAATCCCAGGTGTTTATCGCTTGTGTCATGTCCTGGTTGGGCACACCTACCTACCTACTTGCAACAGATGCATAAAATGTTTCTTCAATCTGCATCAAACGTTCATAGGTTACTACCAAGAAGCCAAATGATGCGCCGATTTTACATCTCTTTTGACTACCCTTTGTGCCTGTGATGCTAAACCCTCTGGGACAGCTCTTAAATGTAGCTCGCAGAGAAAAGGCAGGTTGCTATTGTGGCACCCATCAAGCCGTGGGTTGCTAACAATTTCTTCTTCTTCACATTCCTGGCTGTTGTTTAACCACCACTGAGATTTTAAATTCGTTCCACAACATTGAGTGTGCAGATCCGTTCTACTGATTAGACTAACCTGTGTGCAGACTGTTGGTTTTCACCTCAAGCTAATCAAAGGATGCGACCAATTAGTTGACTGTTACAACTAGCTTGCTGGGGAGGCAGTGGGTGTATTCTTGTTTTCCCCACAATAGGTACCCCAGAACAATGAATATAACTTGTCTGGTCACATTATAGAAACAGAAGGCATTAGAAGAAGTTCACAGCAAAGTGTTTTGAGAACTAAAAGCAACTCATACAACACCAGTGTCCTTGTACAAATCAACAGAGGAGGGACCCTTGAGGTACATAAAAAGTATTGATTGGCACTTGTATAAAGGAAAGACATACCGGAAATAGAGCTTGCCATTTGGAGGTGACTGGTTTAATTCCCGGCACTGTAATCTTAGATAGTTTTTATGTTGTCCGGAGTGCCTCATCTTTTTATGAATGCCAATCAATACATTGTCTGTTTTTTAATTGATTTGATAAATGCATTTGTAGTGTGCTGCTTACACACCCCATCCAGTTGTTAAACTAAACCAGACTGCTTTAATCCTTAAATTCCTTCCCTCCTAAAAATGATGTTATTTTTACCTCATTCTGGCCCAAATATTTATCATCAGCGTCAATCAGCATGTCCTTTCCTAAATGTCGCGCTCATCACTCTTCAACCTTGTATGCACCCATAGCCAATGAATCTTAAGTGTTCTACTGTTTGCCCCAACCTCATTTTCTGAAAACTATACCATACATCACCCCACTGTGGTGTGGTGATTAGACGCTTGCACAAGGACCTAAATAGTTTCCTAAACTTTTTTTTTTAAATCCCAGGTTCCAGGCCAACCCAAATTCAAGTGTGCAACATTGTGCAAAGTCATGGTGTTTGATCATGTCAGCCACAGAGCCCCGACTGGCCTATAAAACAGAGAAAGATCTCTTTACCATACATCTCAGGATTATAAACCAACATATATAACCCACTCAGACAAGGGGCAGGTAAGGAATGCAGAAGCCAGGTGAGCACTTACCATGATAGCGTTGACAATATCATTGCTGTTGTTGAGGAGAGCCTTCACTGCCTTGGCTTTCGAGACATTGGCCTGGGACATCACCAGCTCAATGTCCTTGTGCTCCACCCCGGTGGCATCAACCTGCAACAGAGCATCAGACAAACAAGTTAGCATTTAAGCCGGAGCAACAGTCAACAGAATCACTAGGTGGTAATACATCGGACAGCAGGGAGCTAAACACTGGGGTTCAAGCAAGGATGGGATTACTTTAAATTTTACCCTATCTCGAGAACTTTTGAAGATTTCATAGGGAAGTTCGAGGGGGGAAGGGGGAGGTAATAAAATAAGGTTTAGTGCAATCATTTAACACTAACCCTAGAACTCCAGGGGTGCCATGTGTTAGTTATTTTCATCTCATTTATTGCGTCATTTCCAGTGTGTGTTACTTTTATCTGTTCGTCGCCATCACTGTACCCTGTTTAGAAGCGCTGTTCTTACTTCATGACTTTCCTTGACCTGTCATCATTGCTGCACCTAACCCTAGCCTAATATATCCTCCAGCCCTGAACTGAAAGAACCTATCACCAGAAATAAATCGACAAGCACCACACTAGGAGACAGGCTGTGTGTACTAGCTGCCTCTTAATTATATTGCACTGACTTTTAATTGATGGTATTTAAGCCACCAAGACCCTGTGGTTCATACTGACACCCTTTCTCCAACGCATTATTAGTTGTTGAGAAAGCATGCACGCCTTAACACTTTCTATGATTTATAGCAAAAGGAACTGACAACAGACTGTCTGAACCCCAAGGTACTGTGTACAATTTAAACAATTTTCATTTTTTAAATTACAAGGATCTTGAATTTCAAAACTAAGTGTTTTGTTTAAATACTGTGTAGTATGTTTGTGGCATTCTAAAAAGCACTAAGTGTTGCCTGATTTATTTCTTGCAACAAGCCAGTGTAAATACATTAACTGCGGCTGTCCCTGTATCAGAAGATTCTCAGTTCAGTTCTGAATCAATCTGGGACCTGATGTGCACCTGAAAAGACTACAGGAGTATTTATCTTAATTATCTCTGTACAATTGAGGACTGTCAAGCCATATCAGCTGGCCGACGGTCTTTTAGCTGATTTATCTCTGTACAATTGAGGACTGTCAAGCCATATCAGCTGGCCGACAGTCCTTTAGCTGATTTATCTCTGTACAATTGAGGACTGTCAAGCCATATCAGCTGGCCGACAGTCCTTTAGCTGATTTATCTCTGTACAATTGAGGACTGTCAAGCCATATCAGCTGGCCGACAGTCCTTAAGTGTAAACTTACTGCATTAGTAACAAGAAATGCTGTATAGTTTTCAACTAATGCCTGATAATTTTACTTACGGATCAGATCAGAGAAGACACGTTAATGCGAAAAAATTAAATTAAACGTCTTCGCAATGCAGATTTTAAAAACAAAAGAGCCCAACCTCCTCATCTTCCTCCTCGGACTCCTCCTGTATGGGCTGAGAGACTGTGCTGACTTGTTCACCTGTAGCACCGGCAGCGTCAAATGCCTTGAATTTGTTGGCAGCTGCCACTTGGGCCTGCTGGTTCAGATCTTCAATCTGTGGATGAAACATTTAGCATGCTAGTGATGGATTACACGAGAAAACCTGAGAACAATTTAACTAGAATGTCTTTGCAGTGGAACCTGCAGGGGTACAGAAATAAAGACAGATTTTTTTAAAAAAATGGAGAAGACATGCTATAGGTAAGGATACAACGACCTGGCGGGAGTTGGTCAGGGCCTATGCTCCAATAGGAAGTTGAAAGGCAGATAGAGATTTTCAACACAAACGGCGCTAGGCACATTTTAAAAGCCCACCAAATGAAATCTACAACTCGCAGTATTGAGCTATGCACTCAACTCAGTAGCTGTTCAAAGAAACTATAGAATTTCAGCCTCGTTAGAAGCAGAAATTTGTCATGAGTTCAAACAGTAGGGGTAGAACTGGCGTAAACTGGTTAAATGGCTTATGCTCAATGGGAAGCTAGAAGGCAGAAGAAGAAGACAGGTTACAAACACACAGCAGTTATTCTAACCTAAGAAACCACAATGAAACAAACTCAAGGGAACAGGTCCATATATAATGAACACACTAACAGCCATAATCTACTAAAACTGACTTCTGCGTTCATTTGAAGATGTAAATGAGTAGTGCCGGGGCAATACTGATTAAAGAATCAACATTCAGAGCAAAAGGCCTAACCACACATGCTTAATCTTCTACAGCAAATTTTGAAAGGTACGGCTGCTGAGTTTTCCAGTAGAACAGTTAAACGTATGACTGTTTAAAAAAATCTGATCAATTTAACTTGAAACAAATTCATAATCTTTTAACCTCTCGCTTGCAGATAGCTAAGCATGGATTATGCTGCTGACTGAGAATTTCACCTTTTAAGCAAACATTTATGAGCAAAAGAAAAGTGGCTCTTCTTTTTCTCATTCACTGGCTGTAAACAGAAAGCTCGGGCTGTTCAACTACTTCAGGACTTTGGTCGACGGTTTTACAGATTTGGCTTTCGTGTAGGCAGAATGTTGGTTTCTCACCTCACACGCAAATGAATCTGACTTCTGCATTCATCGGAAGATGGCTCAATGTTTGTCCCTTTCGGCCAACAAATCAAACTTCTGCAGGCATTTGTTGACCAGGTCAGCATTCCCCGTCATTCCGACTTCACAGGTCAGCATTCCCCGTCATTCCGACTTCAAAGGCAAGTAATTTTATCTTTTACAACATGTCACAGGGCAGTGGGCCTACTACTACTACCCCCCCCCCCCCCCCCCCCCCCCCCCCCCCCCCACAATAAGATGCAAGAACCCACACGCAGAAATTAAAATGAGCCAATTCTTCTAAGTATCTGTTAGCTTCAGTGTTACAAGGCAGGTGAAATCTGTAGCAAAACTTTAACAGTTCTCGACTGTTGAAGTATTAACTACAGTTCAGGTACATTAAACTGCAGCAGTTTTACTTACCTTTGCTTCCCCAAAGACAATATAGGTATCTGAGGCCGGGCTCTTGTAGACATCTGGTCGGCTAATTACAAATAAGATATTCTTGGATTTCCTGATGGTGACTCGGGTAACTCCAGGTACTGGCTTCAGTCCTGTGGGTAATAAGAGACAATTACACTACAACATCAACAACATCAACATAATAACAGCCAGTTACAACATCAGCACTATAACAGCCAGTTACATAATTTATCAACATAATAACAGCCAGTCATAACATCAACATAACAGCTAGTTATAACATCAATATAATAACAGCCAGTCATAACATCAACAAAATAACAGCTAGTTATAACATATATCAATGTACTGAATGGTCCCATCAACTAGCTACAGAGGATAAAGAATGTCAGAACAGCTGGTGCTTGAGACCACCAGGGCCATCCCTCAACACGACAACTGCACTCACTGTATACTGACAAATTTTACAGTGATACTGAGGTGTATCAAAAATATTTCAGACACCAGTGAAGAATTAAGAACAAGCTAGGAATATTAATGGTAAATAATTTTACTGAACACAAAAATGTGAATGGTTTGGTCATCTGGTCAGAAGAAAAGCTAGCCCACTACATGAGACCAACAGCTACAAGTCAAGAGGATGAACAAAAAAGGGATGGGTGGAGGGAGTAAGAGACACTACAAAAACACAATATAACATTAACACGAGCAACAGCAGTCTAAACAACCTCATAACAATTCTGAAATGTTGATCTTCCTCTTCTTCTTATCTTCCACTTTGTACCTCAACGAAGCGTGGGGGGGGGGGGGGGGGGGCCATTCATTGGTGAGCTCTGTCAAGAGCACTATTAGGAATGATATTCGTGTCTGTAAAGCTCTTCTTACTTAATGCCATCACTATATATTTTCCGAGGTTTTCACGTCGCTCTGTACCCACTGTAACGTTTTACGTGATGCTCGACGTGGCAGATAGTACCAAGACATTGAAGTGTTGATAGAAGTATAAAATATTCTGTATGATTCAGTACTAGGGATGTCAAGAACAATTTTGAACATCATACTTTTTTTTTAAAACCCTTGTCTGATTAAGAAGGCATTCTCACGTAGTAGGGCTGGTGTGTTCAACTGGCGGCCCAGAGAGGGCTGGTAAGTGGCCCGTTGATTACTGCCAGTTGTATTGAATTAATGACTTTTCTAAGCTGTGGGCTCAGGTCTCTGGAGATTCCTAGTCGCTACCCTTTGACCTCTGAGTAAATTCCTCAACAAGGAAAAGCATAGTTTTACATTTTACAAAAATGAAATTATAGACAAAAGTTTCTTACATGTTTGTGTCCACCCTTAAAATGACAATTAGCATGTTGCACTGTGGCTTACAGAAAGACTGCGATACTGCATTCTAATTCAGCTGGTTTAAGCACCCTCCCTTTCCACCAGCACTATAATACATGCACTCTGTGTGGTTGGGAGGGGGGAGGAGGCGGGGTGTTATATGTTTCGCAACTTGGCTTACACCATTTGGTGCTGGCACATGGCATCATAAATGGGGGGAAAGGAAGGAGAGAGAGAGAGAGAGACTTGACCTGACAGTAAAAGGGCACCGATAGGAAGTGGACACATTAGAAAGCTAAGCAATAAGAAATAAACCTATAACATAAAAAGTCAATAACGTACCAAGTTTTGACATAGCTTTGCGTGCTTTTTTCTCACTGCGGCTCTGCTTGGCTTTGGACACTAGCTCTTCTGGCAGTCCAGCTGCTGCAGCAACCTGAGTACCAGACAATATATATTTCTCGTCAAACTACTAAATGTGGGTAGATTCTATGAGTCTATAAACAAGTCACTGGCTGATTTAGGCTTCATGTACAAAGCAACAGTTTAGGGTCTTTGAAAATCTGTCAAATTATTGGATGGTCATTCAGTACGCTTGGGGTAAATGAACAAATGTCTCTGGAAAAGACTTTGGTGCTCGTATATAAATGTGACCTTAATTTCATTTCAGATAAACAATGATATATTAAAATTATTCCAGTACTTATTTTGATCATACAAAAAGGGAAGTTTAATGCAGCTAAATCAGCCACTGCAGTGACCAATATGCTGACGATTATACAAGTTTAAGATTTAACCTTGAGAATATAACTTAGAACGTGATGCAAATGGCTTAACTGTTTGGTTACGGACACCTCCTCACCCCCTCTCTACTTACAATTCAAAAAATAATATGGTAAGTAACACACTATGCTATGTAGCTGACATAAATTGTAAACATGTTATCATTGTGTTGTTGTTATCGATCCAGCGGCGCATGAGCTTTCGCCCTTTGGATAATGCCATGTAGTGGAATTATGTTATCATTATGAAACAAAGACAGTCAACACAATCTACAGGCATGTTCTGACTGTACAATCTACATCGCACATGTACAACAAAGTAAACCAATTTCCCTAATGCCAGTCCTTAACTCTCACACCCATAACAATTCTTACGTTGCTGATTTAGCTCTTCCCCGTCGTATTTTCCGGAGCCATCGCAGCTGTTGTCATATCTTGTCCTGATCTCTTCGGTACAGCTGCCATCCCTACTTATGCGAGAGCTCTTCAACTTTTTCTAGTGTTTTTTATTTCTTGTTATCTTAATGTTGGTAGGAAGAAGGGAATAGAGCTCTAAAACTTTGCAAGTTGCTTAATTGTTTTAAAAAGACAGTGAAGTTTAAACAGGAGACAGCATTGCAGATAAAGATAATCTTTTTCAAGCAAATAAAAGAAGAAAAAGAATGTAAGGCTCACTAAAGAGGGTTGGTTAACATGTGGCTGGTAAACTTTGCTCGTAGAGAACTTCTACTGAAAAACGCCAAGTCTATTCAGTTGAATTGGCCAGTGTTGGTTAAGGGCCTATACCTATATAGGGATAAAAAAAGACAAAAGCTAACCTGGCTCTGCTGTTGTGCAGCTGCTGCATCGTGATCTTCCAGCTCTGGTGGAGTGTCGTCATCATCATCCGAATCAGAAGAGGCGGTATCCTCCTCTGGTTTGGTGTCCTCAATTGGTTTTTCAACTGCGTCACTAGGCATGATTGTGAAGTTGGTGCTGCAGGAAGACAATGACAGATCATCTATCAAAATGCCCATTATATGGCATATATGCAATATTTATACTTGTTATATATCAATGAAGTCGACAATTATGTGGCCAACTGCACAGCTAACTTCCTACGACACCCAAGTTCAGATACCTGGGAGCCACAATTATCTTTTTTTAGTATTCACCTGGCAACCGACCCATCTTCCACAATTATATATGCAGTTTTTGCCTGTCCTGTTTCTGTTACCATATCCATCCAATTTTATCCTTGTGATCTACTGCTGCCCAGGTACAGTTGAGTCTGGATAAGCAGAAGTTGCAGGGGCCTAAGAAAATGCTTCCACTTATCAGGATTTCTACTTATCCAGACAGTAGTCAATAGAGAAAGCTGCAGAGACTAAGCTGGCCATGTCGACTTTACCGAAATTCGACATATCCCAGTTCGACTGTATTTAAATTTTGACACTTCTCAAAACAACAGCCTTAAATTATCTAGGTCAAACACATATCCCTGGCAGGGCCTCAATGATGTGTCAAATTAGGATGGATTTATGGCAAATATGGCAACAGACAATCAGCTCTGACAGATTAGCAATAATGTTCTACCAATTGATAAACTGGCAGCTGTAGATGTCGACTTATGAACTATTAATTAAAAATAAACTACAGTAAATGCAATGGATTGCTACACAGAGATTTAATATGAAACACATAGAGTGTGTTTGTTGCTAATGTCCGATGTCGTTAGTTCTGCGTTTGGGCTGTTGTGACAGATTCTCATGGCAGTGTCGTTAATAGTAATACTTGTTGCAGCCTATGGACAGGTTCATTCTCTGACAGCTGTGAACTACCAACTGACAAAATTGTGATGTTTTACTAGTAGTTCAATGTAGAACTTGAAACATGTCCACCATGTTTTTCAGGAGGCTGACAACCTGGGGCACTGTAAGTGAACTACAATAACTATAACTTAAACTATATTATCAACTATAATGTTACACCCGGGCATTTAGTACCAGGCCTTAGTTGGGAGGACACACAATTTCAAGATATAACTTGCCTATTTTTTGGTAAGTATGTCTATCTCCTTCATTTTTATATTTTATTTCCTACTTTTTAGTTAACATTAGATGACCTATTAAATGGCCTGTAAGTGTAAGGGTAGGTTTTTGACCTAGATAACTTGGGCCGTAATTCCGAAGAGTGCCTAAATTTTAGTACTTGCCTAGAGATAACAATGGCGTTAGGAATTATTATGGCACAGATGTTTCGCTGTATTAATTATTACATGCTGAAGTCCGCACTTTCACTTTCTACAACCACCAGCATATCAATCAATGACTGTCCGCTACAACACAAGGCACAAGGCAAACTATCTTCACGTGCTAGATGTGTAGAGTAGAATTTAGTAGAATCAGATGCACCCATTTAACCGAGTTTCAGTTTCGCTTTTAATTGTTGCGTCGAATTTATGAATGTAAAATAAGCATAGTAGGAAGCTATTACTAATAAATAATGTAACATACAGCTACAATGAAAATCACACATCGAAGATTTAAATATGTACACACTTTACTTTCATACACAAATACTTGATTTGATTGGGAGGAGCTCACTTAAGAAATTTGTTACACAAAATATCTTATAAAAACTTAATATAAACAATAATATTTTTAATAAATATACACACTGACAAACAAACTGTTGAATACAACGTTAAAGGAAAGCACATATAAGTGATTATTTTAGGATTTGTCAGATTCTTACGTGTAGTTTTTGAATCACAAGACCTCGTCTTCAGACTTCAGCCATTAAGCGGAAAAGGAAAGACGGTGTGCGTTTCCGGTACACACTCGGATTTTTCTCCCATAATATTGATTCAAGCGTGCCGGAAAGATGTGTAGTCCTCATTAAATTTCATAGCAAATTAGCAAACAATGTATGCAGAAAGGAAAGAATAGAATAATGGTTATTTACAGACAATGACCTGTTGATACATAAGAAAGAAATCTCAGTCAAATAAATATTGTAGGAAATCTGAATTCAAGACAGACACAAATGATCAATCACATTCAATGAAGATTTAAAAAAAAACACAGAAGTACTAAACGCACAAAATGTTTATAACTATCTATAATCAATGTTCACTTTAGATGGAAGAATTCATGGGGAAACTAATGTATTATATATAAAAGGCACTTATGTAATTAAAATCTCCTCTGCCTATAAAACCTACATATGATATAACTATTGAAGCAAATCTTCTTTCGTTCGCTTGAAAGAAATGATTCAATCTGCAATGTTGTCTCTAGTATAAGTATGAACTTCACTGTCTTTTGTAATTCACTCAGCGACCCGTACGTTTTACTTGAACTGACGTTTCTCTTGACCAAAAGTTTTGCCTTGATATGTTGTATTTGGCACTTTCTAAGGCTGGGGTGTACGTTTTTTTTTTAAATTAGTTGCGCATCCTTAACATGACGTTGCAGAACCAAACCCAGCACTTTCTGGCTGTTGTGGTTTTTCTAGGCAAATTTACGTCAAGTAGTTTGCCATTGCTTCTGGACGATTGGCTCTCGGTACCACGGTCGAAACCATCGCAAGACAAACCGTCCGCAGCAGGGATCAAACCCGGCACCTTGACACTACGAAGCGCGTTCGCAACGCCTAAGCCACAGACGCCGACGGGGAGCCAGTATCACTGTATAAGAAAGTCCTGCTCCTCTAGAATCTGAACCCACGACCTTCGTATCCGCAGGGGGCGTCTAGCCGCTACAACACGACAGTTTCCTTTACAATAACTGGTAAACACTCATAATAAATAGTAACATAATGCACTGCGCTTTGGTAAGGGAAAGTGTGTATTTTTGCTCACTTAACAAATACCTTGGCAGTTGGAAATCGAAAAGAATAGCCTAACGGCGCTGCCCGCGCAAGCTTTGGAGTCAAAAATCTACCCAAAGTATTTTCAGGATCCTACGGAATTCGTGCACTGCGCTGACATTCTTTGGACTCAAGCTTGAGTTAGAAGTAGAACGGAGCACTCACTTATGGGTTACTACCTTTGTGCCATGATGTTGATCCGACGTTAAAGCCTAAACCTAAGGGAAATGTGTTAAGCAACAAATACAGCCGTTACATATAGCCAGGCCTGAAAATAGCCAAACGGCTGAACGGAGTTTCCGTGACCTCTCCGCGGGTGCTCCTTTTCCGCAAGGTGGCAGTTTGTGTCACCGGGTGTTTATCGCTTGTGTGATGTGCTGGTGGGGTACAACGTACCTACGTACATACATACATGGCTACTTGGGCATTACCTGTGCCTTTAGAGACCCGTCGGATGTCATCTGTAAACTCGGAACGTCGATGGTCACCTCTACACAATGAGCAGCTGGGACCTTTATTATGATAACAGTAGCTCAAGTAGCATTAGTGCATTCTATACCCCTTTAACGTAGACCAGCCTGACCAATCATCAATGACAGGTCAGCAAGTTTGTAGCTGGTCCTGAGTTTGATACTAGTTCCATGAAATGAATTTCCTGTGTGGGTTCCGCGGTCACATTGTATGGGAAAAAAGAATAGACTTACTGCCATCTCCAACCAGCATGTCGTAAGAGTCCACTAACTGGGGGTTACCTTCGAAGTTGGAGTGCATCTGCCGGAGAAGCAAGGAATTAACAGTCGGCACAGTCAGATCTGTAAAACGGATGTGCAAGCAACATTCAGGTTCTGGAACAAGTCTACAGTTCAGATGTGGATGAACAACCAAAACTTTCCGCCGGAGTTTACGGCCGGTAACAGCGAAGAAGGAAAAAAACAGATAACAGTAGCTCTCTTGTAGTAATGTTGTACTTCATTTGTCGTATGGTGAATTATTCACATTCATTCTTCTTCTTCTTTTTCTTCTCTGTTCACCGGCTGGAATCTTCTAGTTGCTCGTCGGTTTGGCTTGGTGCTAGGACTTGAGTTTCGCGTGTCCATCCGTTTAACTGGCTTGTTTGTATGCAGCTGGTTGTTCCTTGCCGCTCGAGCAGAGGTACCCCGACTTCAAAGAGAGCTGCAAATAAGACGTTTCCTATGACATGCTTGTCGAAGAGGCAGTGGGTGTATGTTTGCTTTTGTTAAAGGTTTACACACCTGTAATTCTTCCAGTAATTCACTACGCTTGCGAAACGTGGACTGTGTATCAGCGTCATGCTAACAAGTTGAATCAGTTTCACATAACCTGTTCCAGAAAGCTGCTCAAAATGAAATGGCAAGATAAGATTCCAAATACTCTGGTTCTTGATAGGGCAAACCTGCCTAGCTTCCATACGATACTGAAGAATTATCAGCTGCGTTGGGATATATGCTTTCACTGTCTACTATTGCAGACAGGCTTAAAGTTCTAAAAACAATCTGCAAGCAAAGTCATATCTCAGAGTAGCTGCAGACAAGAAGCACCTCCTGCATGAAGCCCTGTGTAAAGCTAAGGGTTACAGACTGAAAAGAGGAAGGTCTTGGATGGCGCAAACGGAAGACACAATCAGACTTGTTCGCAGGCTTGATACATTTGTGCGAGGTGAGGAGTGGGTCAAAGTGTCCGAGCAAGTTTCAGACTTGTGTAGGGTTTTTATCACTTTGGGACGTGAGTGCAGGGACTGGCCAGCTGGCACTGCAGAATCAGAAGTTCAACAAATGATTAATGATAATTCCCGCCCAAGTGATGTGATTATCTATGCAGATGGCTCAATGTTGAGGGAGAGACAATAATGCATGGGGGTTCATAGCAAAAGTGAACGGATGTCTTTTGGTGCAATAAAACCTTGCAGACGATATCAAAACGTATAGTTTGAGAATGGAGGTGGAGGCAGTCACTGCTGCATTCTGCTGGCGTGAAAATCAGCTGTACACACATGCCGTGATTGTAACTGACTCACATAGCATATTGAGAAAGGTGGAGACAATTAGCAGGGTCGTTAGCATCTTTTGGATATTCTCTTCAGGTCATA